GGACAAGGCGCAAACATGCGCATTCCTGAAAAAAAATCAGACCAATACACTTATATCTAACATACTGCGCTGGTTACAGTTAAAACTTTTCTCGATGCGTGGCACACTTACACCCAGCTTCTCCCCTCCATTTGATCCAGGTGCAGTCAGGATCTCCCTCGACCCAGTGCAAGTCGCAGATGGAAACCTATGGCAAACTATTAATTATGTAGTGACAATGCCTAAAGTAAGGAAGACCCCCAGAAAACGATTTAATTCAGAATTAGAAATCGAAAAAACAGTGGACCAAGATATCCAAGAAGAACGGCGCCAAACGATCGTGCAGGTCCTAACGCATGCGTCGCAGTATTGAGAAGCACACGTAACGGAGTACTTTTATCGTGAACCGATACGCCAATCTGGAAGAAACTAAGCAGTAACAGAGACACCTGAAATAACACAGAAGCACGCCATTTCGTGCTTCTGGAAAAGAAAAACTTTTGCTAAAACCGACGCAGCTTAAAAACAGCATACGTAACGAGCAATGAATGCGCTATCCGCTTTGTTGTAAATTGAACCGATCCGTGAAACACTCAGTTCACTGTTCGCCACAGCTGACAACGACAAGCAGATGCGCTCTTCCGCAATCAACGCGTTATCACCAGACACTATCTGAAAGAGACCATCGTTCGACGCAAGACGGTGATTGTACGACTTTAAAAAAAGATGCGTGACATCGAAAGCAACCCAGGATGCAACGCACCAGGCTCTCCGGTGCGCTCATGCGTTTTTGCACTAAACTCACAGATCGCTATTAGCAAGAATGATCTCTACACTGTAGCCTAACACTTGGGCTCATATTGGCCGTGCTTTGGCCCCTCCCGACATGCAGGAGGAAGGGCGTCAGTTGGGTGAAGGTGGTGCACTTACCGGTTTTTTGCATGAAGTCCGGTCGTTTTTTCGGCAAATCCTCGCTTTGTGAAAAAATGACAAATGCAAATTTTTTGAAAAAATGCAAATTTCCAGTCCACTAAAAAGTGGAAGTATTGCTCGAGCGGTCTTTTATCCAAAAACCTACGTTCATTTACATATACGATTGCGGCTCAGGTCCGAGCTGCGAACGATTTTTGGGTTGAAGAGCTGCTTGAGGCTGTGGTTGGGAGCTAGAGAGCTGAGTTTAAAATTATCTCGCACGTGCATAGAGAATATCCCTGCAAAGTTTCA